ATAGAGTTTCTTCAAAGTCAGCTACTCTGGTTTGAGAAAAGGTTGAACTTACTGGAGATATATTTCCTTGACGAATTCAGGGAAAATTAAGATTACGTAAAGGAAAAATAGAAGTATCTATTCTTGCTGGTTCTGATAAAATCGATAACAAGGTCGTGCAGGGATTGCTGGTAAATTAATATCAGGTTGGGATAAATTACGCTGGTGTTGAGTTACTATTCTATATGGTCGATTTGGTTGTTGATCTGTTACTTTTAATTTAATAGGCAAAAACTATCTTTAAGTAATTCTAAATCTTCGAGAACTTGTATGCACACTGGTCAAAATCTGGTATATCGGACACCTATCAGGCACTTATCATGGTACAGTGGGGGATACCATAAGCCATCAACTAATTTTTAGGTGGCAAAATTTCAAAATCAATATATCATGTGATTTTCATATGATTTTCATGTGATTTTAAATGATTTAATTATTTTATTAATTTGTTACATTTTCATTAATTCGTCTATGCGACCTATTATTTTTTACAGCATATTCTGCCATTTTTCCATTTAAACCATGTCTATATGCATCCATCTAACGCCAAGATAATCTAGCATAAGCTCGCATAGTTTCTATTGATATATAATTAAATGCAAAAGGAAGATTTTCTTTTAATGATCGCAAAGTATATTGACAGTGATCCCAGGTATATTTCTTAGCTGCACCCCAATACATTTCGATCCAATTTAATTCAGGATGAAATTTTGGATAAAAGATAATCTAAAAAATAAAGAATTAATAAAAATGTAACAAAAAATAATCAAATAAATCATAAAATTTACCTTGTGACCTCGTAATTCTACTTCTTGTTGAATTAATCCTTTTTGTTACAAAAAATCTGGCTGATTGGCAAGTAAATACCGAACACAACAATTAATAATATTTGGATTAAATTCTTTTTTTTGACAAGCTGAACAATCAAGCATCAAATCATTTTGCCATAAATTTCTTTCTTTAAGAACCCATTTAATTCCTTTAGGCTCACCATGAAGATTAATTTGTTGTTTTGTTTTTTTATCCGTGATGAAAAAATCTTCTTCAATTATCATTGATTGTTGTTGTCCATTCCAAATTGTGTTACGCATTTTTGGTACTGAACCTCCTGGTCCTTTATTTATTCTGCTCACTAATAAAGCATCAGCTGAATAAGCTGTATGTGAGGTTGCATTATCAAATGCCCAAATACCAATACAATTTGGATGTGTTCTTTCAAAAATATCAATAGCTTTATGTAATTGAGCAACTAACTTTTCTCCATTCCAATAACCATCCCGATTGGCACCTAATACTATCGTAACTCTTGCTAAATCTTGATCATCTTTTAAAGGTCCAATAGTTTCAGTTAAAAAATCAGAAACATGAACTCCTTGTCCTTATCCTTTTTTGCGTAAATCATGTTCTCCTTCAGGACTCCAAACTGCACGTGATCAATCATAAGTAAAAAATGTTGATTCATCATGTGTAATCCACACATGTTCTTTTTCTCCTGGTTCCAATATTGAATAAGTTCTTTCTTTACATTCTTTATCATGCCATTGAGACATAAATCGCTCATAATTTTAAACCATTTCAAGAAAAACTTGACGATATGCAATAACATCCTCATGATTATGACCATCAATATATGTGCCCTTTTTGTAACGGCTAAGTCTAAAGCTCATTTTGTTCATCTAACGTCTTGTGGTTCGAACAGAAATTGTTTGCGGAACATCAACATGCAGATGGGAAAGTACTTCTTCTTCAAAATATTTCTTAACCATTGCAGGATTAACATGAAATTTGTTGGAACGAAGATAAGTGGCAATACGAGCAG